AGCTATATGGACTTCATAGTATTCGGAACATGTCAGAGAAATACAGATAAACTCGAGGTTCAAAGTCGCCACTTACGGGGACTCATTTTTTTACTGCTTAAAATGGTGAGTTTTTAATATTTGGGCCTTTTAAAAAAACAAAAGAGAAAAAAACAAAACGCGACCTGATATTTTATATTGTTCGGTCAGTCGCTGAGGGCAACAAAACAATTTGTTTTTTTTGGCCTTACTAGTATGCTGGTTGGCAAAAATTTATTCACCAGTAGCTTGTTTAGAGTTCTCCAAATCTTTGAGTATGATATTGATTGGATTTTAAAAAATAACTAATACAATTGTTTCAAAAATATGCTTTAATTTTAATTGTGTGGGGTTAAAATGGTATAAAATATCTTTGATGTGATGTTGTGGTGTGTGTTCAAATGTGTTTTGTGTAAATAACTGACCCACTTTGAAATGCAGGTACGCTGCTGTGTTTAGTATGCGACTCGTACTGCACATGCACAGTCGCAATGACCACCATCTTTGAATTATATTTTTTATTTATTTCCATGAAAATAGAAATGTTGGGTGTTCAACAATTGTTGTTACCTTAATGGAAATGGGAATGCCATTTGTAAACCATTTAATTTTTACTGCTGGAAATTTTCACAAATTTAAGATTTTATGGCATTCCTAAAAACAAAATTTCACGAAAGTCACTGGCAGTTCGTTTTGTTGAATCTCAAGCAAGTTTTCAATACAGTATTTCACGGTTTGCTCAGACTCGCAAATTTCATTAGAATTTGGTTCTTGTGAAATTAAAGCATTTCACAGTACTGCAATTTCTGTTCTCTGAAAAAAACAAAATTGTTTTCACACACATTCTAAATGTTTGTAGTCTTCAAAATGTTTAGATTAGTTGTGGCCTGGTTTAATTTTTCTACTAAAGTCAGCTAAAAATAATAACTAAAGGATTACTGTCCTGCAGTGATATGCATTCACCCACCCAGAAAATTTAAACCTCTCTATGGTGCTGTTATTGTTTTTGGTGAAAACGCAAAAACAAAAATCTCATGCAATTTGCAATCTTAAAAAAGGCTTCAAAAAGTTTTTTTTTTTTAATTTTAATTTGTTATTTTTCCTTTAATTTTTAATTTTTGTTTGTTTGTTAATGTAATTTGGGTTGGTTTTACTCGTTAATCAGTTTTTGTAATATCACAACTATTATATCCTGGTTTAACATTGTCCGAAGTCTATCTCAACTGAATACATTTTCCCATTTTAATTTCTTAGATTTGCTTGCATAAAACACCCCTGTAAACTGAATTTTTTATTTTTTTATGCTTGAAATTATTCCTAATATACTACATGTATTAGGTTATTAAAAGAGCACAATTTAAATAAAACAATTCTATAAGAGTAAATTGAGCCTCTTCTGTGTATACTGTATTGTGTTGTCATGGTTACCTTTATAAGGGCAGTGGAGGTATATGTGACCCCAAACTTTCTAAATGCATTTGTGGTATTCTCATAATAACAATATTATTATTATACATCTTTGCCTATGTAAAAAGCAGTTTGAAATATCAAACTTCATGTATGTACCGGATTCTGCCGTAAATTCGCCCATCCGAAACATCGCCCTGGGCGGTTTCACGGCTGGTGGGCCCTTATTTGGGGTTCAAATTTTCAAAAAATTATCATCAAATATTTTTAGGGGGCTTATATTTTCATTGAAAAATCCACCTACTCCGACTTTCAACACCAGCAGTTGGACCACCCATGGAGGTAAAAAAAGAAACTAAAATTGTATACATTTTTTTCTAGCTGGATTAATAAGTAGACATCATTCTCAAAAAACATCACATTATCGAACCTCGTGCGCCAAATACAATTATTTTGTTTCAATTTATTAGTAACGAAAGTATATTCTAAAAGAAATTTCAAATAACAACGAACACAACTGCATTGCTTAGTAGTGAATGATCGTGGTAGCGTAATCTGGTCATGTTGCGTTTTACAATTGTTGATTATTACCTAGTAATGATTATAATAACGTGCAAAAAATAAATTCGTTGAATTGTTATGAAATGCAAATAAATTTCAGCTTATTTCATTGTAAGCGAATGATTCTGATCGCATTTTCAACGGTCGATGCTGTAGAAATTAATATCCGCCATGTTTTGACCTGACCTGACAGGTCAAATCGATAATTAACCAATGAAAACGATGGATGATGCCAACGTGTTCAAATTACCATAATACATTTAAATATGTTAATGTTATTGACCCCAGCATGGAAGAGATTTGCCAATGTTGTTGTACGATCTTTTGGCTCGGATTTTGATGGGGAAAGCGACATGATTTGTTTTTAAATAAAAAAAATAGTTGTTTTCAAAAGATAAACTGAGCATTTGAAGAATAATTCAACATTATTTACAGTGATAACTCATTGTCAAAACGAAGCTAACCCATTCACGCAAGTCGCAATAAACATCAATACTTGCATCGTGTGGTGTCTGGACAGTATAATGACCCCCGGATATAAACAAATGGTCGGGGTCATCACCTTCAATTGCGGTGAAGCACACTGCATTATCACTTCTTCAATGATCAAAAGACATTGAGTTTTCTTCTTTCCATAACGATTCTGATCGACAATTTTGTGCTTTAGAATGTTTCCGTAACGGGGGCTTCAAGATTGAAATTTATGATGACGAAGAAGCAGACGACAACAAAGAATTTGGAAACCTTATTTAGCAAGTTGCAGACCCGCAAACACAGTGTAGCGTT